CAAAATTGAGCAAACAATGGTCCGTTTTTCGCTCATTTCTGCCCCACCCCCATCCCCAGGAGCATTCTGAAAGCCTCCTAAAGGCTATGCACGGCCATTTTGGTGAAGGGGCAGGGTTTCGGGAGGCAAAAATGCTGTATTCAGTTTATAAGACACCCCCAAATTTTCAGCCTCTTTTTTGAGGGAAAAAGGTGGGTCTTATACTCTGAAAAATACAGTATTTCATCCGTTGTTTGGAATAGTAAGAAAAAATCCAAGAGAAACCAATACCTGCTAATCTCAAAACTCTTAACACATAAATACTGCAAATATTTGGGACAGTATTAGGAAGTAGCATTGGATTTGCTTTCTTCAGAATTACATTGAGAAAAGTTCAAAACTTAACTTAGAGTGCTGTAATTATAACATTAAAAGTCAGTACTGTATAAACTTTTGAAACATGTTTTTTTGCTCTATTTGCTTTCAAAGGCTTGCATTTTCAAAAAGAAACAAACCTGGCTACCATGTAATACATATCCAATATGTTGCCATACCATAATTGCATGATACAAACTCCTGTCAGACTAAGAAACATAAGATACATCAGTGAGTGAATTATAAATATATTTCTATAGTACAAGTAGCAGATTGACTGGTGACAAAATTACAAAGCACTTATTTTTGCTTATGAGGTCTAATAGGAGTTTATTTCCTGGTCTTTTGTTATATAGTAAGTTAGGTTTGGACCTTCTGCGGAAATGAAATTTATACTCTAAAATTATTCACATTGCAGTGCTAGCTAATTATAGAGCTAGTGTATCTTCACTGTAAGCAGGCAGAATATACACCAAATTATCTACCAGAATAGTTGCAGTCTGATAGTTGTACATGCAATAGCAAAAATGCTAATGTTCTGAAAAAACTTACAGCACAATCAAAGCAGTTGAAAGATGAATGAAAGTAAGGCCGCGTTCCAAGCCCATACATTTTTATAAACATTTCGGACATAAAGAGCCCTAAGAAAATGAATTCTGCATAGTCTGAAACAAACAGAGGAAGAAGAGGAGGGAAAAGTCAGTTATACTTTTCTATCCACAAAACTATCTCTTCTTTCTACCTATCAAAAAATCCTTATTTCTGACTACATAGCAATTTCAATCTTCCTACATTAGAACAGATTCTTCTTAGCCTTCTCTAACTTAAACATGTCAATATATCATATTACCTTTGTAGATTCAAGAAAGTAAACTACAAGACAACGTCTCCCAGAGAACAAAGATGGTTAACTGATACCGTGAAAAATCTCTCAGATTATTGTTTTACTACATCATAGTAATTTTGGATTTCTTTTCTGTATTTATATTTTTTTAAAATATTTGCTGATATGCACTTTTAATACTGTTTTGTATTACTTTTCACAATCAGCTGGAAGCAGAATTAAAACTGAAGCTCTCTCTAAGGTAGTCAATTAGTCCAAGATCCATTTGTAATACTAATAAGTTTCAATATGTCAAAACCTTCTCTTGCCATTCCAATCCGTTTTATTTCTCCCTAATAAAAGTAGCTAAACTATTACGGATGAATTGCATCTTAATAATTTTTATTTAATAATTAGGTTCTTTGCCTTTTTTTCAAAAAAAGATGTAATTCTTCAAGAAAGTCATTATTAAAATCCTTTTCTCTTTAGAATATAGGGATCTTTTCAGCCTCTCTAAATACACAGATATACAAGGAGGAGTTTTAATTAAAAGCATCAACTAATATAATTATATGGAAGAAATTTTTAACTGTAATACCAGCCAATCCACCTAGCAGTATTGCAGTCATATTATACTGGCATTTTAGAAATGAGGAGTGAAAATTAATTTAGAAAACAGCATGAAATTCCAAGTTTTTGTGTGTGAGAGAGACAATGTTTTCCAGTATAGGATTCCCTAAGCAGAGTTTCCAACCTCAATTGGAACAAGAGTAAATTCTCTTCAGTAGCGCCAAAATGATCTATTAGAAGTCTATATCATTGTTATATTTCTTGGATTCTTTTAATACTGTGGTTTCCTGCAACAAATTTTTGGAATTGTAATTTGATGTAGCTACTACCGGTAACTCTTAGAAAAGGCAACCACGTCAAAGAATTCCATATTATACGTTATCTTTTCTCCCTGTTTAGATGGCACAGTACATGAATTAAAATTCCTAAATTCACTTCCTGTAATCTACCCTATATATTCAGTTTAAGTTCACTTATTCCCAGTAAATTTAATTCTGACTACTTTTAAATGTAAATCTCAAGTAATCATAGAATGTAATAAGGGGATGAGTTCATTTTTGCTGTCTTACCAAATGAAAATGCTATCCTGATTTCTATTAAGCAAAAATGACAAAGCCTAAATTATTGCAAGCCACCACCAGCTAATAAATCCGTTCCATAAAGAAGGACATGGCTCTGCTACTTACAGAGGAAGTCAGATAGCCAATCTGGCTGGTTGTAATGTACTATAGCAACACACAAAGTGTTGAGAGCTACCAGACTGAGGACTGTCCAGTAAAAGGCCTGAGTTTTGACAATACGACGGATATAGAAACGCAACCTCCGCTCTTTTTTGTGAAAGAAAGTAGCATTTTCCAGCGTGACACTTTTGATGCTGGCTCGAGCAAAAGGTGAACCTGTCAGGAAGAAATAAAAGTTAGCAGCATAAGAGAAACCACTTATTTGAAACAATCTGCCTATGGGGTGAAAATTAATGAACTTGTTTATTTGGTATGATTGAGATAGATAATTTTGAACCTGCTTTTTCTTCTGTGATTTTTAAGCAAATACTAGCAAATCTCTCTGAAGATATCTTCTCTGTAATACACCATGGATAAGAAGGAAGATGATAGAAAGATAGCAATAGCACTGAGCAATAGCACTTACTTATATACTGCTTCACAGTGCTTTACAACCCTCTATAAGCGGTTCAAGAGTCAGCCTATTGCCCCCAACATTCTGTGTTCTCATTTTACCGACCTCGGAAGGATGGAAGGCTGAGTCAGCCTTGACCTGGCCAGGATTGAACTCCTAGAAAGAGCAGCGAGTTAGCCTTACAGTACTGCGTTCTAACCACTGTGCCGCCTATCACCAGATAGGTAATTGTTCACTGCTAAGGGTCCCAGCATTTACCATTCTGGACTAGCAAGTTCTAGCATGCTTGTTGCAGGATGGGTCTGAGGGGCTGATATTACATTTTGCCATTATTTGGTCTATCCCTGTCTGTTCATCTTCGGAGCAAGAATAAGAGTGAATGCAACAGCTGGTCCCTTCATAATAAGTAGTACTGAAACTGCAACATTTGAATATATATGCCCACAAAAACAGCATAGTTTGCTAACACTGATTTCAAATGATGACATTTCAGGAGATAAGCTTTAGCCATAGTTGAACAGCAATGTATGATGGCAATATATTAACACGTCACAAAATATATAATTAAACATAAATGGATGCTCAAATGCATCTTAGGATAAAATGTGGGTCCAAAATTTGATCAGGTTTTCCAGATTTGAAAAGATTAAAGACCATAAGTGGTCCTTGTATTACCACCACAATTGAGCCCAAAATTTTGGTTGTTAGGCGAAACAGTTGTTAAGTGACTTTTGCTCCATTCTACAATTTTTCTTGCCATAGTCGTTAAACAAATCACTGCAGTTATTAAGTTAGTATAAAATACAGTTGTTAAGTGACTCTGGCTTCCCCATTAGTTTTACTTGTCAGAAGATCACAAAAAAGACCCTGGAACACTGCAAACATCATAAATATGAACCAATTGCTAAGCATCTGAATTTTGGTCATATGGCTATAGGGATGCTGCAATGGTTATGTGAAAAACGTCGTAAGTCACTTTTTTCAGTATCATTGTAACTCTGAATGGTCACAAATGAATAGTTGTAAGTCAAGGACTCCCTGACTTTTTGACCAACCTACCTACTGAAGAGATGTCTGCCAGTGGGTCATCAGCTTCCTCTGGGTTCAGCAAGTCTGTTTTGCTTTTCTTGATGGTGGCCCTCCGAAGAGCTCCAACAATAGGAACATGACAAGAAAAACAGACATTATCCTCAAGGTCCTTTATCAGATTCGCTAGATCTTTTTTTTAATCATTTACCATATTGCTACTGTCCCCAATTTACATTCCAGACCACAATTCCAGAAGACCTTTGGAATGTAATTGCTGTAGTTATTAAATACTAGGCACACATGATGATAATGAGGTTGCTGTTGCTATTGATATATGAATTCTGTTTCAATTTTATATACTTAAAGTATATTTATTGCATATTACATTGACTTTCTCTTTGGTCCTGCGTTGATAGCTTCTAAAGTACTTATCATTGAACTGGTCCATTCCATCCTTTCTTCATTAATTCATAAATAATCATCATCATGTAATTTACATTCTCCTGAGCTGGGAGGAAATGGAAGTAAAACATCTATTTGTTCTTCATCTTACAGGAGCTAGCCTAAGATCATTTTTTTGTATTGCACTTTTATTATTATTATTTAAAATAAATAACTCAAGGCAGCAAATATACCTAATATTCCTTCCGTCTCCTATTTCCCCAACAACCCTGTGACATGCAGGGCTGAGAGAGAGAGTGACTGGCCCAAATGACCCAGCTGACGTTAATGCATAAGGCAGGACAAGAACTCACATTTTCTACCTTGGAACCTTAACCACTAGACCAAACTGGCTTTCATTGCAAAATAGTTCAGATGAGGTTATTCTTTGGAACCTTAAATATCTTTGACAATAGGAAAAACAGCTTTGAGAGGGAGTGGCTTAAAGATAAGGCAAATGTTTTTTCTTTGCACACCTTTTTTCAAATTCTAAACTGCCCTCTTCTTAAACAAAGGTAGTTTTTCCCTCCTTCACATTCCAGATGGGCCTCTGTGTGGACAAACAAGCATCTAGAGGCCTGTGAGATGAAAAGGATTTGTAAATGCTTTGAAATGCAAAAATGGTACGGGCAGGTAAACTGTGCCTTCATCAAACTGCATTTTTATAAACAAAATTGCTGCTCTGCTGGCTTGTATGAAAACTGGGAATTTGTCCCAGGTTGCTTTCTCGCTGCATACTTAATGCTATTCACCTACTTTGAGCTAGCAGGAAACTATACTGACAAAATATACTGACCTATCCATGTTAGCAATCCCTGGCCAGCCACAGGGTTATTATCCTGGCCTTCCCACCCACTTCCCACTAAATGATAAAAATAATCTACCAATCGCTTTCAATGTGGACTAAGACTAGACAGTTCATTTCTCAGAATTCAGCTGGGTTTTGCACAAGCCTTTTGCATGGATGCGTTGAAAGGAACTTGATATCAGCTAATATCTGCAGATAATTGGACCCCTTTCGGACAAGTATTTAGCCTTCTTCTTGAAGAATACTACAACTATCTTCAAAAGGAGCACAAACAATAGCTGTCAGGCAGGGGAAGATTTGTACCATGAGGCAGCAAACTTGTTCTTTCCTGCTTTAGCCTATTGTCTCACTGGCACTGCTGGTGTTCAGGGTTGGCAATAGTGGGAAGATATTGGTTCAGAAGGATGAGACTGTACCATGACCAAATCAAAATGCCTCTAGAATGTGTGTGCAGAGACCAGGGAGACATGCTTAGCCCAGTCTAGAATGGCCCATAAGTACTTACTTCAACCCTTAGTGATCAAATGACATGCCACCAATAGAATAGTCAATAAATCATATCACTTGGTATCTATGGAAAAACCTATGACATGAAAATACTGCAGGAAAAAAAAAACTTCCCAAGATATGTTGGTGTCACAGTTAGATGCAAGCAAGGAAAGGACTTATGGACAGTGAGAACCAGTTTCCAGTGAGTAAGTGCTAGCACTGATTCATTGGCTAATAGAACAAGTATGACCCTGAACTTCTATGAACACACTT